CCCGGCGCGGAGGCGGGAGCGCGCGCAGCCCGGCGCGTCTGAGCCCATCAAGGAACCTGAGGGGACTGTGTGAAAGGGGGCACGGATCCTGCTGCAAGACTCCGGCCTATAGAGATCCTTCTGCAAGTACCAGAACAGAGCGGGTAGAGAGAGGAAAATAAACACTTAATATGTTACGCTTTTCAAAAATATGGTCCACATCAACTTTTTCAAATTCTGTCTATTTAAATATTGCTTTAGTTAAAGTTAATATCTAATGAGAAAACCCTTTGAAAGCATTAAAGAAAAAAAAAGCATGCTATAGCACCCCAACATGTGCATCTCAAGGTCAATATCTAGCCGAGTGTATCTGGAGAGCTGCTAGGTCACCTCTGCCTCCAAGAATTCCCTCTTCTGTTGTTTTCAAATCACCTTCATTACGGCTCCCGGTACCTTCTGCTCACCCTAATGGCATAACGAGCCTTTACCGTGGCCTTGTTGCCAAGGTTCTTAACCAGCCCACGTTGAAAACATCTTTTATGTTCTATTTTTATCCTTTGGTTGCCTTTCTTTTGTTTCCCCAATCACGGGGAATTACTTCAGTCCAGGACTGGAGAGCCACCAGGAGCCTCTTCTGTCCCCTCTGCCATCCCTTCCTAGCACATTCCTTTCTTTACTCTCCCTGACACCACAGGGACAGCTATTCTACTGACCTTATTAATTATGAGCAAACAAGATTAGCACCATGGATACAGTTCTCAAATACGGGAGCACACAAAGGACTATGACATTTTGCTGTGTGTAAGTGCGATAATAGCAGGGATGCTAGTGCTAGCCGTGTAAGCAAAGACACCGAACGCTTCCTACCGCCTGCATCTACAGCGACAGTCAACGTGCACCCTTAAACTGTGTTTTACAGGAGCGTATCTGGATGTTATGTCTACTTATAGAAGTGGCTCACGACCTGCGTTTATGGGTGCTTGATGTACCAGTTGAAGTTTTATTTCTACATACCTCTGTGGGAGTCTGTTGGGCCTTTTTTTCAGATTTTGGCAAATCTTTGCTTCCTCTTCTCTTTAAGGAAAGCTGAAACAAGGCACAGATATATTTAGTTTCATAGACTATGGTTTTCATTCAGTTTGATATTTTTAAATACTCTAATCTCATATGACAAAACCAAGCCAAGTGAAAAGTGTTAGTTCAAAAATTATACGGGAGAAAGATAACCCAAGCCAGATAGATCTAGATATATTTTTACTTTGGACTGAGATACACATCACAGTAGAAAAGGAGCTTGCAATGATCTAATTAATTGAGAAATACAGGAAACCTACTGTGAAAATGCAGAAAAATAACTTGGACTAAATTTAGGTCGATGACTCAAGGTATTTCAAATGGGAGCAAATTCTTGTTAGCATTCTACATCACTAAAGAAAAAAAGGGGTAAGTTGGAGTTAGGTTGCGATAAGACTGCAAAGAGAAGCTTTCAGTGGATTTATGTAGAATTTGAAGAATTTCTTTCCTCAGCACACATCCATGCAAACACACACACACAATATACACATACACACCTGCGCAGTACCACGGGGAACGGGAGGGGCTGCAGCGAAGAGGGCACACTCCACGTAAAGGAGCGGGCAGATTGCTGGGATACAGGAATGTGGGCTTTTCAAGAGGAGCTGGAAATCTGCAATGTTATGTGAAAATCTCTCCCATTTTATTGGTTGGTCCTAATTGAAATTCAAACAAACACACTTTGTAGGTCAAATAACACAGATCCAGTGCCAAGTCATTTCATGGACTCGCAGTACGTGACCTCTGGTGCTCAGTTCCATTTCTAAACACCAACATAACAAGGAGGGGCTCTCTGTATAAATGATAATCCATGTGTATGAATATCTATCATATACCAGACACTGAGCTGGAGACTCAAAAATCAATGAAATAATGCACGTACCACTAAATAGCCCGTATTTGGCATGGGAGACAGGGAAGCAAACAATTACAGTACAAGTTGTTAAACACCATGCTTTCGGTTCTGTGAAGCAAGAACTTTGTCTTATGTAGCATCACCACACTGCGCTTGTCACACGATGGATGGTGAAAAAAAATTGCTGAACTAATGGGTGAAAATAAAATATGAGGTGTGAGATCAAAGAGGAGCATGGGGGTAGAAACTGACAGTAAAAGCAGGCTTAAAGGCCTCTGAAAAGAGGAGTCTTGAATTTGCAAAGAACTGCAAATTAAATTCTTAATTTCTAACCCCCACCCCGTGTCAGATGCAGGCATAGGTTCAGGCAGAGAAGGCACAGAAAGCACGTTGCGGCAGTGCTTTCATTCAGTGCGAAACGGAAACTACAGAGCCAAAGGAATCGTCCATGTGGTTATTTCTAGCTCCTACAGCTAAACATTCTCTATGTTGCTTGAAACAAAAGCTGTGGGGAATGACTCACCAAAACCAAAGGAGTCCCAGGAAAACCAAGAATATAGCCAGCTGAACTAGGGAATCCTGGAACATTCTCTGTAGTGGCTACCTTCAAAGAAGCCCCGAATGCATTTTATTTCTTATCAGATGCTTTTACTTTGAATTTATTCCATTACATATTTATTTACTGTTAACTAATGCACTTCATGAGGCGCCTGTGATACAATAAGAAAATGAATATAGTCTCTGCTCTCCATGGGGCTCCTTCTTTATTTGGCATTTTAGTTTACAATTTAATAGTCTGATGAAAGCAATGATAACATATAAACAATACTCATTGCCATGGATTGAGTACTAGTTCATGTCAAACACTCTCAACTAATTCCTAAACACCTCTGTTAGCCTAACTTTGCAGATGGTAAACTAAAGCTTGGAGAAGTTACATAAACTGTTTAAAGCAGGGTTCTCAAAGTGTGATCCTCAGAACATCATCAGTGTCACTTGGTAACTCATTATAAATGCAAATTTTCAGGACCAATCCCGAACTACTGAATCAGAAACAAGCTCTCTGGGTGATTCTGACACATGATAAAGTTTGAGAAGCACTGGTCTAAAGTCACTGTTTGGTAAGAATCCCATCTTGACCCAAGTCTTTCTAATCTTTCCTATCTATTAGATCACAAAGGAGAAAGGCTTAATCCCATCTGGGGCTGGAGGTGATACAGGGAATTCAGGATGATTTCCAGAGAAAAGTTAACGTCTTGAATCTGAGGAGTTAGCCAGTAGAAGATGGAGAGGGGAGGAATGGAACAAAAAGCATTCCATGAAGAAAAGCCATTTCTGGGCCACAAATAAATTCAGTATGGCTGTAACAAAGAGTGAGGAAAGGAGTGACGTGGGATTTGGCATAAGTCAATCTTGAAGGACACTGAATAAAGTTTGGATTTCTTTTTACCAAGGTCAAAGTATTGCACTAAGGACAATTAGGGGTATTAAAGGGTTTTAAGCAAGAAGTGTCCATAATCAGATTGTCCTAGAAAGAGTACAAAGACACAAAGGTGGCAGTCCAAATGGCCCTGAGGTAAAGGCATGACATGCAAAGGAAATGAAGAAAAGTATGCTCTGGTTCTCAGAACTGCCCCCCCCCCTTTGTGTTTCATTAATTCCACAGGTATTTGTTGAGTTCTGTGTGTATATATATATATGCTACTCTATGGCATACAAATATGACTGAGAAATATTTTACTCTCCCCCCAAAAAGCTAATTGTTTATGATGATAAAAAGGAAGCAGATAAGTAGCTAAAACAGAAAACAGAATTTACTAAGAGAATGAATTAAGAACAAAGAATTGAGAGAGCAAAGAAGTATCTATGATTCCAGATCTGGGGAAATCACAGAAAATCACCCAAAGGAGCTTATTTCTGAACAGTGTGCAAAACTTCAGTGGAAATAAAAACCAGTAAACAGCAGAAGCAAAGACTTGGAGAAAGAATGTCTTATGGCTCCACTGACTTCTGAAGAGAAATAATGGAAGTAGAGACACTTTAGAGAGAGGTAGAAGACGACACTGAAAGGACTGAGGTCAGCTTGTGGAGAAGAGAAATTTAGACTATCCTGTGGGCAAAGTTAAAATGAGCCTCTAAATTAATTCAGGAGAAATGCTGAAAATAGGCCACTCTTTCCCAAGAGGCATTTTCTATTTCACTTTTATTTAACTATCACTCAGGTGGCGTGTCAAACTCAGATAAAGCTCTGAAACAAGGTTTTCCTTGGAATAAAGGTATATTGCCTTTAAGGTGCCTCAAGGACTGTAAGTACCTTTAAGTATCACATTTACATTTTCAATAAATAGTTCATCAGCTTTTCATATTCTAGTAAGTTTTTATTAAGTTTCTGACTCTAATGAAACCAAGATGAAAGATTCATTGGGTAGAGAAAGTTGGAGGAATAATGTAAGTCCAAAGAGTCCCTTTTCTATGAGGATACAATGTCCTGGCCTCCCTGTTTGACATCCTGGCCCAACTTTACCCACTATGTAGAAAGACCTCTATAAGGGGAGCAGTTTGGGAGGCTAGAACCAAATCTCCGGTTTTCATCTTTGCTTGCAGAGTAGGCACTTCAGATGGTTCTCTAGAGAAAAATGCTGAAAACACGCCTTGTCCACATCTTAATTCTTTGCATTCCCAACCTCAACTTGTCCCAAAGAGGCTGCTGTTCTTTTTAGCCACACAAAGGCCAGGAATTAGAGAGTTTTGCCAAAAATTATGTTTGCACAGCAATCATATAAAATGGATTATTTGTGTTCTAAAAATGTTTTGAGCCCGCCTTTCTTCCTCAATTGAAATTTGGACCGCTTCTTAATTAGCAGCATGTTTACATTTTCAACAGTTAAGTAACGGGGAAGAACCTCTCAAAAATGTTTTTGAAAGACATGTTACGTGCATAAAATTCTCTCATGTTTTTGATAAAATTAGAAAGAAATCCATTTGTATGGTGATTAAATCAAGAAGTAAACTATAACCGTATATATCTAGGATTTATTGGGCACTAACTACATGCCAAGCACTTTTCTGAGAACCTAATATTTATCCACTCATTTAATCTTACTACAGTCTTCTGAGTTTGACAGCATTATCTGCAGCACACAAAGGATAAGTCACTCAGTGCTAGAAACAGGATATAAGTTATTCAGCTTCAAAGCTCTTGCTCTGAACAACTACATTACACTGTTATTCCAAAAGAAGATAAGGGTCGGGCTGTGTTATTTCCAAGTATTTCCTTCTCTGTGCTCTTAACCTGGCTGCATGGGCTTGGGGGCACTAGTGTACATTGATTACACATGAGCAATGTGTTTTTGTACTTTCAACATAGTCAACACAGTAGTCACATACTCACTCATTGTTTCTCAGAGTCATCCTGTAAGTACATGTGACTTCAGGGCAGCATTAGGAGGGAACCATGGGGATTTCTGACTGAAGGCTGGAGAGAAAAGGCACTTTGGCCCTGCTATGGTCCAAATCCTTTAAAATTCGTATGTTGAAACTCTAATGCCCAATGTAATAGTATTAGGAGGTGGGGACTTTAGGAGTTGCCCTCATAAATGGGATTAGTACCCTTATAAAAGAGACCCCACAGAGCTCCCTAGTTTCTTCCAGCATGTGAAGATATAACAAGTCTCTCACCTAGAAGAGGGCCCTCACTTGGCCATGCTAGCAACTTGATCTTGGACTTCCAGCCCCCAGAATCGTGAGAGAGAAATTTTGTTGTTTATAAGCCACTCAATCTGTGGTATTTTGTTATAACGGCCCACATAGATGAAGGCAGGCTCCAACCCATTTGGAAGGGAACAGGAAGGGCTCTTGTACCTAAAAGACCAAAAAGACCTCCTCCTTTCCTTCTCTGGTAGGTATCACTGACACCTACCAGAGAGCCTGGCAGAGGTGGGTCAGGTGAGGGCACCCAGAGAGCTTGCTCATGACCACATTCTCCATTCTCTTCCACGGAAGGGTGAGGCAAGATCCAAGCTCTATACTAAGTCAGGATCTTGGGGGCCAAGGGAAATGTGAGGAAAGGAGGCATCCCAGGATGACCACATCTTGGGATTCTTCTGTGCAAAGTCTTCCAGTCATTTTCCATCTCACTCAGCGACAGAGTCCTGCTTTACTAAGGGATAGGAGACCTCAACTGGATCTATCCTAATAACGCTATGAAAAGACTTGACCAGGCTTCCACCCACACTAATTAAAATAGATTCTGGTTTTGGGCCCAGGCATTCTGTCCAAAGCTCCCAGGGTGAGTATAATATGCAGCTGGCTCTGAGAACCACCACCCTGCTCTCGGTGGTCAGCCCCACCCCTACCCCAAACAAGCTCTCAGACCCCATCTCCCACCATATGCCTCCCTGCTTCCCTTGCTTTGGTGTCACAAATATCCTCATGGTTCCTCAAACATGCCAAGCATGCTCCAGATGTGGGACCTCTCCCCTGCCTGCAACACTCTTCAGGGTCCCTAATTAGAGAACTTTCCAGACCACTTTATATAAAATAATAAATGCTCCGCTCTCTTGCTCCTTGTAACCCTTGTCTTCCTAACTCTGCTTTATTTTTCTCCACAGCTCCTCTCACCATTGAACTTGTGTATTTGTCTCATGCCTGTCTCCTTGTTCTGGAATGTGAGTGGCACCTGCACAGACTCTTTGCATTGTCCTCTGTTAGAGCTCCAGCTCTTAGACCTCCACCTGGCACAAAGTAGTTGCTCAGACAATGTCAGCCGAACAAGGAAATGGCTCCGTCAACCTTATTTCT